TGTGAAATAGAAGAAGAGTGAGTGGAAGTTGAGCTACACTGAGTTGTTGATCCTCCAGGTGAGTGAGTAGAGTTGAGTGTGTGTGTGATCAGAGGTGAAGCTGCTTCCTGGTTGTTGATGTTTGTTTCTAAAGATGTTGTTGATGAGACTTTGTAGAAAGCAGCTGGTCTGAGTGATGTGATCAGAGTGCAGTAGATAATGTCTGACAGCAGTTTGAAGAGGAAATGGATTCTGTTCTGTTCTTCACTCATCACCTACCTGACAGCTGACACCTCACACCTGTTTCTCACCTGCAGGTCAGTCAGGAGGACAAAGTGGAGGGAAGGAGGATGAAGGAGAGAAGAGTGGATCTGTTGGACTGATAGTTGGTCTGTCAGTTCTTGCTGTGCTTGTTGTTGGTGTTGGTGCTGTTTTTATCTACAGAACATATACACGTACACCAAATCCAGATTACCGGCCCCTGTGGATCAGGGGCTTTGAAATTCCATCAGTGGCTTCCAAACTGAACCGTGAGTCCTGCTGCTTGTTTCAGATTCATGAAAAGCCAGTTCAACATTCAGAGTGACTGATGTTGGTCCAACAGTGGACTCAGATAGTAGCAATGTCAGTTTTTGTTGTTGTTGCAGGTGTTGGTGTTTTGATCAACATAAGATATAAAGAACAACGTTAGGACTCACATGGTCCTTGCACTGAACCACAGAGACAAATGTTTGAGAATTTGAGAATTCTGTGGCTGAATTGTGAATCTCCTGCTGATGAAGATGGAGACAAAAATGATATGAAAACAGACAGCTGTCACCAACACGCCGCAAGGATCCCTGATGTCACTTTGACACTTGAGAAGGAACTGCTTCATCAACCTCAGTCTCAGCAAAGAACAGGACTGCATCCAGAAAATGACATCAGAGTGCTGCAGATAATGTCTGACAGCAGTTTGAAGAGGAAATGGATTCTGTTCTGTTCTTCACTCATCACCTACCTGACAGCTGACACCTCACACCTGTTTCTCACCTGCAGGTCAGCCAGGAGGACAAAGTGGAGGAAAGGAGGATGAGAAGAATGACGGAGGTCAGAACAGTGGACTTATAGTTGGTCTGTCAGTTTCTGCCATACTTCTTGTTGTTTTTGTTCTACAGAAATCGTAGAGGGCGACTTCTTCCAAATAATCCAATGATTTGTGTTCAGTGGGTTCATAACTGAACTGTGAGTCCTGCTGCTGTTCCAGGTTATTATCAGTAAGTTCAGCATTCAGACTGACAGAGGAGAGACACAGGAAACAATACAAAAGGAAACTTTGCATTGTTTTGCATAATTATTTGATCTCTGATGTTCCTGCTCACCAAACCAACAAACTGCCTAATTTTAAAAATAATTGTCAGTTTAAATCATTATCTGTTGTTTATAAAATATTTTATTAGATTTTATAAAAAAAAAATTAATAATGTATTTGAATTGTTACAGATTATGTACCGGTAGTGATTTTCTTAAGTTTGTAACATAAACATGTATCACTCAGCTACTGTACAGGTGAGAATGTTATATTCTCTTATTACACACACACACACACACGCTCACACACACGCGCGCACACACACACACACACACACACACACACACACACACACACGCACACACACACACACACACACACACACACACACACACACACACACACGTGTGCTAGATAGGTTAGGCTACACTCTATGGTAGGAGAGCCAAATATCCAGCCTGAGAACCATCGGATGGGTTTGAAAAATGGGGGGGCTTAAACTTTTTTTCCAAGTTTTTACCATGGCTTTTTTTTCTAATATAGGCTTAAAATGTTTTAATATTTGATTTTTAAAAAGTATTTCTTGGCTCAACCTCTGACCGGTTGAGCCAGTCAATGCAGATTTAATCTGATCTGGAATCAGTCCAAAGAAAATAAAACACTGATGTGTGGGCGTGTGAATGAACCCACTGCATGTACAAACAGATGTAACACTGTGACTGAGTTAAAGTGAAACTGTCTGAGCCTGTCCCTGTGAAACAGAGTTCGGAGCCTGCAGCCTTGTTTCAGTCAGAATAAAGTCTGAATAACCAAATGTTGTGATGACTTCCTTCTACACAGAGGGCAGGACTTTTTTAGGGCCCGGCAGCTTCAGCAGTACTGAGAACAGTGGCTGTGTTTGTGGGAGGTGCTTAAATGAAAAGAGCCCAGGCAGCAGGTTTAACAGGTCTTTGCATTCAAACATGAAGTCTGATTCAATACAACCTGGACATACACCCACAGTATACCATCACTAAGCTACATTTTCAGTTCATTCCTCTGTGAATGTTTTAAAAGAAAACTAAAAACAGTAATTTCATTCAGACAAAAGGTGCTGATAAGGTGGGACAGGAATTTTCCAGACTGCTGCGTCATAATATTTGAAGTGTTTGATTTACTGTTTGATTTTCTCTAGAAATATATTTCATCAGGAGGCACAAACCTGCAGCTTTGTGATTTCATTAATATAAGACAAACATTTAATATTTCTCAGGTATATTTGAGTCTAACTGGTTCTTGTGCTTCAAATTTAAACACTTTCATTTAGATTTAAAACATCTACAAAAGTCTTGGGGCAAAAGTCATGTTTGTAAAAACAGAGAGTAGAAAACATGACGTGACCAACAGCTGAGACAGTGGAAAAACTCACTTCCTTCTAGCTGTCCTTCCTCTTACCTGCTCACCTGTGACTTCTGTAAACAGGCTGTGTCCACTTTGTTAATGTCTGTGCCGCCTGGTGGCCAGTACAGGTACTACATCAACCCCAGCCCCTCACCAGACCTCAACCTAAGAGCAAATACACACTTCAAAACTGGCTTAACACGACTCAGCTTCTGATCATTATCCACTAAGACTTTAATTATTTGTCATCTAATAGTAAATTTTATTTTAAATGAGTGTTTTATGATATTGATCTGTTAATTTGTTCTCTGTCTTAAATGCTTCTTGGGGACACATGACATAAAAGAATCAATGAATAAAAAATAAAAAAATTTCAACCTCAAAAGCTGAGTTATCGCTCAGAAGAGGTCGAAGCTTCAGCAACATTTGTAGTAGAAAACAACTTAATTATTTTTCCAATGCTTTTTTTTTCACAGACTAACCAGATTTTTAGAGGCACACAATCACAAATTTAGCCTATTATCATCTTCATTTACACGTTTGTCTTCTCTTTTATCTTTAAAAACAAACACTTGACTTTAGAAAATAAAAATAAAACCCACTGAAACCATTATTTGACCTTACAAATCATAAAAATATTTTCACTTTCAGTTTGGCCAGATTTGTCAACCAAACATGGCTGATGAGATCTGCCCTCAAAATGTGTGTGGTTGTATCTTTTTTCTGAACTTTTGAATCCAATATGTATGCAAAATATTAGAATAACTAAGAAAACTTGAGCTAAAAGGGAAGCTAAACTGCAATGAAAATAAAAGAACATTTTCTACAGGATGGCCAGGATGGATCTGTGATCATGTTGGGGTGGCACACATGTCTCACAAACAATGCATTGCTATTTAAGCAGCTTAAACTACACACCTGTACAATATGTGAATGTAGGTAGTGTAGCAAAGAAGCACTATACAAATGTAGCAGTGTTAATAGAAAATAGTACTGTGTGTTGCTACTGTGCCGAGAAGAGATGTTCAGTTTAGCAAAGTAAGTTTATTACTTGAGTCAAAGTGAAAAAGTACAGACTCTGTAATGTACTCAAAGTAAGAAAGTAAAAATGGCTCCTTCAAGGAAGATTCTACGAACCATTTTGCACAAAGAGAACTGAACCTGTGCTACATTAATATAATAATATTACTACGACAGAATATAAATACTATTACAATTTGAAGTATAATTTTAAAAAATGGGGCTAGTTTGTTATGTAGGAGACATGCAGTAAAAGAAAATAAGTATTTACTGTTGCTTACAGAGGGCAGAGGGTGACTTCACCTCCAAACCTAAACAGTAAAATTAGAACAGTCAAGGTTTAAATTGGGATTCAGCAGATGGGGAACCCTAAAATCTCTTTAGTGGTTTAGCACAGTGAAACAAATCACAACTCATAATAATTTCTAATGTGAGCTTCACTATGTTTTTTAATGTACATGATGTGATCACATGACCTGTTGCTGTTTGTGGATTTACACCATTAAATTCAACAAGATTTCAGCAGATGTTTCACAGCCATCCTGGTTGATCTCCATCCTCGACACTGATGATACGCTGTTTCTACTTTCTCTATGCATTTGGTTTGGTATGAAGTTGGAATTCGAGACAAAAGCCTCACTCAGATTTGTTGCATAAAAAGTCCAGATTATGTTATTGGGACTTCATTACCCAGCAGCCCTTGCTCAGTCATACAGACTGTCTGACTCCAAAGCAG